AAGATCCCTCATTAATAGGTAAATTAACATCCAAAGAAGACTAGTAAAGGATCAAGAGGGTTCTCAGAGTTGGAGAAAAGTGAAGCTGCATGTGATGAGCCCGGTTACTGCATATATATCATTGTTGAAGAGAGTTTGAAAGAAATGTGCAGCAGGATGTAGGAAAATGCAAGCTTAAAAAAAGCAATTCTTTTGTTACATAGTTTAACTGTTACCTCATTTCAGCCCAGCCCAGAAAATCTCATTGATGTTAGTACAGAAGTTTAAAGTTCCTTCATATGTTTCTGCAGTTCAGCCTAGCTCCAATCAGAGCAGACTTTCAGCAGATTCATTGATTTTTTTGTTTGCTGTTAAATTTTAAAGCTTCATGTATATGTTTTTGCTTCAATCTGTTTCAAAAGTGAAGTAGAAATGATTAAATGATGTTCCACATTTATTTTCAAAACATTCCTTTTAAGTTTATTAGTGTAGCAAGTGAAGGGTAACTGAAATAATTTAGCATTTTATTTTAGATTCTTAAAGTCCTAAAATGCACGAGCAAGCTGCTGTCAAACTTGCTAAATAAAAATCTCTGTTTAGACAAAGACCTTGTGTTACAACTTTCACATGTGTGTGTGGGTTCACTCAGGTATTACAGCAAAGCTCCAGAAAATAGGATCTTATAAAAATTGATACATTCCCTCTAGTTGTCTCTTAGCTGCTAGTATGGTCATTTCATGTAACCCGTGTTCTATTATTGTTCCATATTTCTGTTTCAGTGGATGGTTTGAAATTGTAACTGGCTGTTTTCTGTAAGTGATACACACCCTTCTGGCACTTCCCTCAGAACTTGCTTGCTTTAGGATGTGGAGCTGCTATAGATTTCTTAGCCCACTTGATGGACTTTTAATTCTTGTATGGCTTAGAACCAGTCAGCTTGTCATTCCTGCTGCATGAGACAGGCCCAAACCCACTGGGCTCCTCTGTAGGATCCATCTAATAAACCTCTGCTCTGTAGCAACTTTTTTCTGAAGTCCTCATTCATCCATGTTCATTCCTGCCAAGCTAAGCAAGCTGTTTAGACCCTGTGTAGCGTTTAATTTGTTATCAGTGTCAGAACTATAGAAAACCCTGAAATAAAGGTCTGAATACAGGAACCTGAATATAAGGTTCCTTATACTTGGCTGTTCCACACCTTCAGTGTCTCTGTTCAGAACCTGGAAGAGTTTAGCCAACTCTCCCAAGAAAGCCTGTTAGATCATCTTACCTGCTTTATTTCCATACCTTTTTGGTAGTGCCCTTATGCTGAACAGCATCACAAGAATCCTTGCTTTGCGTATTTCTCAAGAAAATGAATTTCTGTTATGCCTAAAAATATAGCTGTCTGATTCTTTTTCCTGGGACTTAAGTCTTCCAGCATCTACTTGTCAACTTTGTGTTTTTAACTTATGAACAAACCTAAGGAAATAAGATCTCACATTATAGGAGAAGACTTCATTCCCAGAGCTGATAGGGGAACTGGCATGGGAGAATGATGAGAGGACTGAACTACAGAGAAAATGTGTTCCTCTACACCAGAGTAATTCTTAGACAGTAACGACAGTGGTCAGCAGAGAAGATATTCCCAAGTGAATGTCTGGACACTAGACAATGTCTGAAGATAGACACCCTTCTGCCTCTTGGTGATTTTCAAATGGAACAGCTACTGTGTCAGGGAATGAGAAGACCCTGGCTCAAGCCAGTCTAGAAATAAAGATGTTATTTTTAATTTTGAGTACAGGTGGGTACAGGTCCCTGCCTCAAAAAGTGTTTCATTATTTTTTTATTACTGCAACGAGTCCAGCAAAGGACCTTTAAGATGAAGGTCACTTCTCCTATGAGGAAAGGTGGAGAGGGCTGGGACTGTTCAGGCTGGAGAAGAGGGGATCTTACCAATGTGTATAAATACCTAGAGGAGAGGGTGCAAGGAGGATGGGGCCAGGCTCTTTCCACGTGTTCCCAGTGACAGGAAAGAGGCAGTAGGCACAAACTGACACATTTGAAATTCCATTCCATTCATCATTTCTTTACTGAGAGGGTGGGTAACACCAGAACATATTGGCCAGAGAGGTTGTGGAGCCTCCACCATTTGGAGATACTTAAACCATGATTCAACATGGTCCTAGGTAATCAGTTGCATCTTACCTTGCTTAAGCAGGGTGGGTGGCCTGGATGTCCTTGAGAGGTCTTTTCCAACCTCAGCTGCTCTGTTTTCTTCAATCTGGAATAATTGTAACCATAAACATGGCTTCGTATTCCCTTTTGCAGAATAAAGAATTGAATGTGGATCTCCCAAAACCTGGGTAAGAGGGCTCAAGGTATTTATGCTATGATATAGCACTCTGGATCTATCGTCATTAAATAAAATTTGGAAACTACTTATTTGTACATACTGTTTGAATTCCTTAATATATTAGGGATGACCAAAAGCAGAATATTACTGAGGGGGTGGGAGGAAGGGAAAACCTACTACTTAGCAAAAACTAAGGTATTCATATGCAGCAAATATTCAAGTGGGACTGGTCACTTTTAGTTTTCTTTTTCTGGAGGAAAAAAAAAAAAAGAAAAAGATTCAATGCAGATGCTTAGAGCTATTTGTATCGCGCTACTTATGTCTAAGGGTTATTTATGCTAATATGTCTCTTCTAGTTAACAGAAAATAGGGGGGTGAGGGAGAACAGGTGATCTCCTGTTCTCAGAGATCTCACCCTGATCTTTGGTGTCCCACAAGTGCTCAGTCTGCTCCCCAGTTCTTACAGAAACTCAACATACCTGTGACTGTCACATTAAAGGATTTGGGAGGGTGATTTTTTCTTTTTAAGAATTAAAGGATAGTTTTACCACTGCCAAAGAAGCTCTACCAAATATATCTTTCATTAACAATTTTATCACTATCATTATTATTACATATGTTAGTTCCAATTTAGGGAACAAGTTCCAATTTAGGGAACATTTCCAAAATTCTGAGAAGATCATAAGTGAAGAGTAGTATATCTGTGCTAAGGAACACTGCAATAAGATTTCTAATTTTTCATATGGTGCAAGTTTGAATTCCCATTTGAAATAATTTTGTAAGAATACCAGAAAGAAAAATAGGGGTTTCTATGATGTCTGCCATTACATTACTACACAGTTAGACATATGGACAGGTGCAGTTTGCATGTATGTATCCTAAGTGATCCCTCTTGCATATTTTCAGGCATCCATGTCCAGCTCCAGTTTCCATGTGTACACATTTGTTCTCTCCTTGCAAACCATCCCACTACATTTTTTGACATTCATTCAGTGCCATTAATACTGGCTGGCACAAAGTTATCCCTGTTCTACCCCACTGTCCCATGAAATAATGAGTAGCATTGTCCAAATAGGGTTGAGAGGGAGGGAAGTAGAGAGGTTTGAGGTTTCAGGATCTTGTGCCTTTTTTTCTTCTGGCTGCTTACATTTTCCTAGTTGCAAGGATAATTTTTTACTTGCTCTCTTCCTGTAAAACATGTAATTGGTGAAGATAGCTGTTACCTAGCTTCCTCCCCTGTTCCCCCTTGAAAGGAAAGACAGGAGATTTCAGAAGGTGAAACACAGTTATGAACAGGCCTCCACTGAGAATTACTTACAAAAATGGAAGGAGATAAAAAAGGAGTTTAATGCTCAGCTAAATCATAATTCTTAACTTTGGGGTTGGAGTTGAAGCTGGGAAAAATTGTATGTACTCTGAGAGAGTAAGAGCATAAATGAAAGTTATTTGAAGAACCCCCAAACTCAAAGTTGTTATTAAAACATGGGAAAACTAAAGATACAAATCACTGAGGACCTCAGACTCCAGAGAGCACTGGACTCCTGAGCCAGTTTTTCAAAAGCACAAAACAGAAGAATTAATAGAGTCTGTGCACATAGCTAGTGAAATGCAGTAAAGGCGGTAAAATATATATTAATATCTTAGTACCTACTGTAATATAGAAAACCAGATGAAAAATGGCTGAAATGCTTGTTCCTTTAAGGAATGCAGAGTACTGTTACACTTGACAAATCCATTGTAAAAAGAGCTGGCAAGCCAACAAAAAGCAGACACTGTTAATCCTGTTGAAACCAGTGTGAAACAGATGAGCATACAACTGTTCTTGACAGCACCAAGGTAAATCAGGGCTCCACACTGAGAACAGTGTGCTCGAGAGCACTGAAAACAAGTCTCTAACTATTATCAATTACTGAGGATGTGTTGTCTTGTTTAACCAATAAAGTGTATCAGGAATATGTCAAAAATGGATTTCTGGCATGTTGAGCTGAGTGATCCATCCCATCCCCAACATGTTTTGTTAAGCGGGGTGGTACGCCCTGTAATGTGGGTGCGGTGGAGCTGGTCCCTGCCGTGCTTCCATACGTGCTGAAACAGCAGTCCCGGCAGCTGCTGGGCAGCTGAGGTGCAGCTGATGTCTCCCTTCCCACAGATAAGTGGGATGTTTGGTATACAGGACCACTATAGGCACTGGTCACAACCCTTCACAGCTGGCAGGGATCCTGCGCTAATTTTGCACAGTTTGAAAGCTGACAAAAGATGAAATCTTTGTCACTGGATTCTGTTGATTTCCACAGAGTTGGTTGAAAGTGAAGTGCTGTTTCAGAACTGCTCAAGTTGAAAGGTGTGAGTAGACTCTCCATTCATTCATAGGTTCATTAAGAAATTTATATGTCACTGAAAGTCTAAGCATTGAAGGGGAATCTAAGATCTGATGTTACTGAGATGATTTTGGTAATTTTGCCAAAAATCTTTTCACATACAATTTTTTTGCCTATTATGCCAGTCAGTTGCAAATTGTACCTTAGCATGCAGAAAGCTGGTGCTTACTGAGTGATTATGTATTGCTGGTAAGATTATAAACCTTAGTTTGTAAATGGGTTACATGGGTTTTCTTCCCTCTCTCAGTTTGGCAGGTTCACTGTATTGCACAAGTCTGCTGCAGGACTGTCTTTTCAACTATTTCTTCCAGGTTCTACAGTGGAAAGCACAGCAGGAAGAGGCTGCTAAACTAGAAGCTGCTGTAGCTGCTAGAAGAAAGGAAAAGAAAGATGAGAAAGAAAGGCTACAGAAAGAACAGGAAATTATTCGTAGAGCTCAGGAGAAAGAGAAAGTATGTGAATCTTTTACATGTTTTTGCATATATTAATATACAATTGCCTTTAAAATCTTTAATTGATCTCACTACCTTGTAGTCTTGTAAAGTATTAGGAATTAGTATAGAGGTGAGCAAATGGTTAGTTGAGTCTTGCTATTATCCACCTTAGCTTTAAAGCTGCTTGCTGTTACACAGCAAATGTACTTCGTTGCATGTCTAAAAAAACCCCAATCACATACACAAATAAGTGTATGTGACTGTCTCTGCATCACAAAAAATAAGTGCAGAGCCACTACTGGATTTCTAACTCATACAGCTTTGTTCTTTTTAGCATGTGGCAAGGACTCTGAAAGCTTCCCATCCTGCAGTTAAGTATGCTGCAATGCAGCAAATGAACCTTACAGGGTATTGTCTGCAAGAGAGCACACTGCACTTTGCAGCACAAGCACCTTAACAGTGGGCCTGAAGCCCAATGGAAATATTAACCATATCAAGATATTGGAAGTCTGGAAATATTCTAAGTACTTAGGTGGTGACTACTTGGGAAATGGCTTTCATGCATACCTAAACTTCAACTTAATATAAGATCAGAAATCCACTATGGTGAATGTAATGCTTTTAGAAAATCAAGCTACATCACATGTATTTGTGTTGACCTTTCTATTTAAATGATACGGCAAAACTCCAGGAGGTTTTATTAGAACTTTACCTCTATTTCTGAGTATTTTTTATGCTGAAATCTGATATGTTTTGAATCCAACTCACCTGTGGTGTATTTGTTAAGACTGCATGGAAAAAATAAGTCAGAGAATGTCATAGTTTCTTATTGCTTTGTCTTTTAAGTGCTACTCAGTAAATAGTCTCTTTTACTGGACTACTCATGCCAGCATATCTGCAAGAAGAGGCACTAAAAGCTGTTCTCTTATAACATTCTAGTTAGAAGTTAAGAAAACAAGGCTAAACTGTTCCAAAGAGAATATTTTCATGAGGCATATGATGGGTTTAGTGATATCAGTACATGTCACACTACAGGAAACTAGTGGAATAGAAGGAAGAAAACAAAATCTGTAGATTTTGCCACCTTGTCAAATGTATAACATATCCTGCTGGGAGTAAACGTTTACTGGTGGGACTACAACATGGCCAGGTAGACACCCTGGAATCTGATGGACTCTCATGTCCATAGAGATGTCTATAGCAGTGATATTCCTTGCAGGGGAAAAAGCCAGACACAAAACTGTCCATACTTACAGCAATCTGTTTAAGTTGTAACTGAAACAATTTACAGCACTTACTAAAAGCAGTAAAAAGATTATAGCAGAGCAAAATAAAAGACTTGCAGGCAGGTGGAACCGACTGCTGCTTTAGCAAAAGAATGAAAATAGTACTACACTACTTGGAATTTCCTCTTCTATTTTTATAGCACTCAAATATCTTTTCCTTGCTTAGTCCAAATATGTCTTCATGCCATGTCAAACAGGTCAAGAGCAGAAGTTCTTGTAGCTTATTGTATTCCTAGTAGATAGTTTGCATAACCATTGAATTTGGTTATATCAACAATTCTGCAAGGAGCACTTGACTGAAACAGTTACCTGGAGAAAAGAAGCTGAAGCTGTGAAAGCCTTCTTGTCTTGAGATCAACTCGTGGTTTCTCATTGCTGCAAGTCCCCAGAACAAACATTTTAAAAGTTGCCTGTTTTCAAATTGATTCTGATTAATTTGTGAGTTCATTCTTCTTGGTCATGTCTGAATTTGCATACTTCGTGTATCCAGTTTATTCTCTAGTTGAAGAAGTCTCTGTTTACATCTAATTTTATTGTTTTCCTGCAATTTATCTTGAAAATGAATAGTATGCTAAATCATATAGTTAGCAAAATTGCAACTAGTTGTCCCAGAGCCAGTTTCAAGAGATGTTTCTCTTTCCTTCAAAATACACAGAAACACTCACTTTTTGTAAGAATCAGAAAAGCACAGATTGGAAGGGACTCGAGAGGTCTCTAGTCCAATCTCCTGCTCAGGAATGAGGTATGACCAGGTAACTAATGGTTTTATCCTTATTTTAATTTATTTATCCTTAAATTATCTCTAATATTTCAGACTGTCATTCCAGGTTCAAAAGTTGAGAAAGGTGTTGCAACCCTGCACTTTCAGAGAAAACCAGGCTCAATTTAAATCACTCTTGGTTTAACCTTAAATTGGCCTATTGCATATATTGCTGGTGAACTTTTTAGACATAAACCTCTATAAAAAGACAGAGGAGAAATTTTTAAAATTATGTGCAATGTGTGTTACAATACTATTATTTATGTTGTGGGTTTTTTTTTCCACACTGACATGTGTTTGCTAGTGTTTGTTCTTTGCTGATATGTTGTTACTGTTCTTACATGCTGGATTTAAAGTTATAAAATAACAAGGCAGAACTTCTACATTATGTGTCTGCAGTCATCTTCTATGACAGAATTTTCAGAGTGAGATGTGATCAGGTTTTGGCTGGTATGGATAATGCGTAAGTTGTTTCAGTTGGAACATGTGATTGTGAGATGCTGTGGTTTCTCCCCCAGCACTGGACACAGTAGTGCAGGGAGGGGCAGCTCATGTTAAGTGATGGTTTGCTGCTTAGGTTATGAGAAACTTAGCTGCTGCTTTTCTTTCTGTTACAGCTTGTTCTGCTTATTTGTCTTTACTCACCCTGTGATTATAGTGGCAGGTGGCTCTGAAACCAGAAGGAAGGGAAGAGGATTGGTGAGCCTGTGCTGATCTAACCAAGCAGCAATGTTAATTTTTTGTGCAAATAATTTGGTTATGCAAACTTTCTGCTTGTCTTTGGCCTATGTGTAAAGTCGGTATAGAACTGCCTATGCGCAGATGGAAGAGCAGCTGTTTGAGGCCAGCAGTCATATGTTTCATTTAAGTATGTTACATCTTAGATCCTTAAAAAGTGCCGCTAACCTTATACTGCAACTGCTTTTCTGGTGAATGTTCTACAGCAGCATGAAGATCATGTAAAATGCCGGTGATCAGTGTAAAAGAAATTCCCAGTCTCTACCTAGCCTGTAATCTATCAGGTTATATGTCAAGTACTTCCAAACCTGAGAATGGCTAAAATGACATTAAATCTTAAATACCAATGTTACATTTGTTCTGTTGGACTGCAGATCAGATTTTCCCTATATATTTAGAAATGGAATTTCAGAAGTATCCACTGGCCCCTAATTAGAGTTTATGAGAAAACCTTCAGGCAATTTGAAATACAGAAAGGAAATAATTGCAAAAGACAGAGTTTTATTTCATAAATATTGAGTGTTCAAAAAGAAAAAAAAAGAAAAAGCATTCTAAGAGTGTTCCTATGGAGACAGACTGGGAGAGCTGTAGTTGTTCAGCCTGGAGAAGAAAAGGCTATGGGAAGACCTTAAAGCAGCTTCCAGTCTCTACAGAGGCTGACAAGAAAGCTGGAAAAGGGCTTTTTACAAGGGCATGTAGGGAGAGGACAAGGGGGAATGACTTTAAAGTGGCAGAGAGGAGATTCAGATTAGCTCTTATGAAGAGTTTCTTCCCTGTGAGGGTGGTGAGGCACTGGTACAGGTTGCCCAGAGAAGCTGTCACTGCCCCATCCCTGGCAGTGTACAAGGCCAGGCTGGATGGGGCTTTGAGCAACCTGCACTAGTGGAAGGTGTCCCTGCCTGTGGCAGGGGGGTTGGAACTGGATGGTCTCTAAGGTCCCTTCCAACCCAAACCATTCTGTGATATGGTATAAAGGGGATGGTATTCTGACTGCCGTTTCAACTGAAATCTGCAAAAGAGGCTTAAATTCAATACAGTTCAGTGGATGATACAGAAGGTTTTCTTGCTCTTTTATAAAGCTTTTGTGAAATGATTTTATAAGTAAATTTCATTGTACGAAATTGACTGTGTTTTGGGGTGGTAGGATAAGGTCTCAGACCTTCACAGGAAATTTATGCATTTAACTGTAAAATCAAGATATTATTGAGGTATAATTTCAGTTGCTTTTATAATTAATTTTATAATTAATATTTTTGTAGTTATTAAAATTCTTCAATTTTCTTAGATTTTTCTATCTTTCTCTAATTCTATTTATTTTTTCCAGCTGTATTTTAAATTATAGAAACATAATGCTGTTTTGTCAGTGAATTACAAGTGGCAGCATTGTCATATGCTTCTTTCATGATAAACAGCCTTTTCAAAAACTTAATCTTGATTTTCAACAGAAACACTATCTTTGTATTGCTGGAAGCAATAGCTTTTAGTGAATCATGTAGCTTTTCTCTATTTGTCAAGACGTCTGTTAAGGAATTAAGGGGTTTCTCAGTCAGCCCTGAGGTGGTATGAAACCCCATACTGTTCTCTCGCTATTCTTTTGGATTCTAATTTGGAATTACACCAGGGTATGTCGTTACTTCTGTGTCCCAACTTGTCTTCCTCTTCTGGTATCTGCACGAATGGATAAAAAAGCTCCAAAACAAACTAAACCCAAACCAACAGAGTGGAAATGAGAGAGTATGAAGTACAACAAAGAGAAATTGCAAGAGTGCTAACCCTTGTAGATCTGTGTCATCCTAACTCTTATTGTTGGGATAGCGGAGTACTTAGTATAATGCAGAAAAGAGAATATGTGGTACAACTCATATTCCAGGTCATCTCCAACAGGTACTAGAATGTGTTATTGTTACAACTGAAACAGGCAGGATAGGTCAGCATAGCTTCAATTAGGGCAAGAAACTGCAGGATCAGGTCTTATATTGAGTTGTGCTGGGGTTTTCCATAAGGCAAAAAAATACAAGAAATGGCTGGAGCTTCATGTTGCCAATATGCATAATTCATACCTTTCGTAGACAGAGTTGAGGAATTACGATCATATCCACCCACCTTATGTAGGTCTTATATTATTACCGTAATAAGGATGCTGTGCTGTCTACAGATGTCTAAACCATTCCTGAAAATTAGTTGCTGAAATTAGGTAAACTAAAGGGCTTTCTTTCCTAATATGTAACTTGCCCATTAGTGCTTATGAAAAAAAAAGTCTTAGCTGTGATTTGATGTGTCTTCTCCTTATCTTGTTGTCTTTGGTTGGTTGGTTGGTTGGTTGGTTTTTCTATTCGCTGTTGATGGTAATTGTTTGCATATATTTTGTATTGCTCTTAACCTTCTAAACAATGCATGGCTTTCATGAGATGAAGTCAAACCTAGCCCCTAGTGCTGGGCTTTACAGTAAGTAGCTGAGGTCCCACAGGTGGCAGGGAGAAGAGCGACAATGGAACCAGCCAGGAGCCTGACCAGCCCTGTCTCTTGTCTCCAGCAGTGGCCCTAAAATTAGAGGAAACTGCTACAATAATTTCCCTCCCTTCAGGCTACTTTCCAGTCTCCAGCTGTTCCCTGATACTGATGTGGTTTTCAGTTTAGTAACACCTCTGCAGGGGCTCTCTTTGGGAAATTGTCTTGTCTTTCCTGAAGCATGTGTGAACTTCCTGCATCCATCACCTTCTTCCTGTTCCTCAGCAGGCTCTCCATGGCTCTCTAGCCAAAGTGAGCTGGGCTGGTGCGAATCCAACCCTTTGAGCTATTCTAGGGCACTTTAACTGAAGGACCGTTCAATCACTTGGGCAGCACAGTTGAAGGTTTTGATGGCAGAGTAGGAAAGCAAGGAGCAAATGAAAGTGGTAGCCTTGAGTCTGCAGTTGAAAATGATATTCAAATTAGTATCCACAGTCTGATTTTACTGTTTCTGTGTGTGGGCTCCACACTCCATGTTCTCCTAGTAAATCTTTTGTTAGCCCATACTGTTCTAAAATAAAAATTTTATTCTAAAAAGAGCAAACTTGGATTTTCTTTAATTTAATGCTTTTATTACTTTATTTGTTCTCACTTACTTGGCTTGTGAATTATTGTTATTTTGTTTACTGCATTTGTTCAAACTCTAGGTGAAAAAGTACTGGGCTGAGAAGCAGCTCAAGTGGCAAAAACAGGAAGAGAAAAATCTACAACATCTAGAGGAATTAAGAAAATTAATGTCTGAACAAGCAGTTAAAGACAGAGAAAGGTAAAAGAAACTAAATGTGAACACCTATAGTATCAATAGGAACTTCTTATAGTCTAATTTGCTTTGATCTCCCAACTTCCTATATTAGAATAAATTGAGATAAGTAATTTTTTTCCTTCCTGTTTGGCAGTTACTTTGGTCTATACACCAAGTATGCATCATTGTATCTTGGATGCAGTTTACTTGTTAGTTTGAATTAATTTGTATTCATCAAAGTTTTAGACCTCTGTAAGCACTAAACTAGTGTAAACATGATAGGGTGCACAACATTAAAATCAGCTCCCTTTGTGATTTTTTTAGCTTTAAGTGGGTAATAAGACCTACATTCCTACTTTGCAGACTTATTTATAATTAGGCTTGTTTTGTTTTAGAGTCAAGCGAGAGGAGAATATTAACCACTTAACAGCTTCAAAGTTACTTATTATTCTTTTAGAGGGTCTTAAACTGCGTATCTAGTTGTAGATGCTCTTCACTTGTTTGATGTAATTTAGGACTTCAACCTAAATCTGAATCCATGTAAAGTCTTCATTATTGAATATGGCCTTTAATGACCTGCCGAAGAAATACTTGATTTCGCAGAGGAATTCCTCTGTCACAGAGGAGCATAAAACCCCCTGTCTGTAGTCTGGCTATAATTGCTCTCCAATTGTAGGCTTCCTTTTTTTTCATAGAGGGAGCCACCAAGCTGCATGGACCAGAAATGTGATTAAAATAAAGTACCATTGGCACTAGAATATTAAACTTGGTCTTAAGCATTCTGTGGGAAACACTACTTCAATCTTATTTCGTTATGATACCTTGCTCACAGCTGAATTTAAATGTCTGTCCTCATGCTACAAATATATCTATACCTTTCCTTAATTGTACCTCCAATGATTTTAGCTCATAGCAAAAGAAACATACGTACTGGAATTACTGAGTTTTCAGCAGAATTGATCAGGAAAAAAAATGACTTTTCTTTAAACCTGTGTACTGCACTATGCCATACAATTGGGGAATGTTCTTTTCTTATGCTAATAAACCTTGCAGAATAAAATACAAGGAAATGGCACAGCTCACTGAGGAACGCAGGAAGGAAATAATCACAGCTTTAGGCTATTACAAGTCAAAAGCCAGTAAATGCTTAGTATTATGTTTTCCAGAATTGGCATACTCTACAAAATAAAACAGGTTTTAAAAAACTGCTTGCTGTTTGTGAAGATTAATAATTCTTTGAAATTACTTAATGCTTTTCATCTTCAAAACCTTCAGAAATATAAATCAAAGGGCAGAGACATTATTGTTATTAAGGGCTGTAGTGCTATGAGTACAGTATAAGGCATTTTAAAATATATATTGTACTGAACTAAGGTAGACACACTGTCGTCATGATTTTACAGTACAGAACTGCATTCCTCTAGAAATTAATAGTATTCTTACGTGTTTCACCTACTGCAGCAGATAAATTGGTTTTGAGTCTTTGCAGAACTGATCATGAAAAATGGCATGGGCCAGCGCCACAGTTCTGATCTGACATGAAAATGAAAAGATTTTTGGATTGTGAGCAGATTGGTGATTCCAAATACAAGATACGGCCTGGATAGTGCATAGCGTTTAGAATATGATGTCTATGTTTCTATGAGTAGATATAATAAGGTATTAGGAAATGGTTTGCTGTTATCCTGAATTACTTTTAAAATTAATTTTAAATTAAGTAATCAGGTTCATAAAAAGGAAAATTATCACAGAGTCACTGTGGTGCTCTATTTATTCAGGTCTTGCTTTGTAACTGCAAGATGGTGAATAGCCAGAGCTATCAACAGATTAAAAAAGAGAAGGATTAAAGGCACTTGAAAGTGGATTTGGAATTTCAAGTGACCAAGTCCAAATTTGCTTTCTCCAGCTCCTCTGCTCAGTGATTGTCTGACAGTGGAGACATTTAACTGATTAGACATTTAATTTTCTAGTGTGGAAGTTCCTAGGTAGCTGCAGTTTTATGCTGTTTGTGTCTTAGAACTGGTGTTTTCAGAGCAGCTGGCTACCCAGCACTTGCCTACACCCCAGAGGGTTTGAGTTTATGTAAGTTCCCACAGATGTTGATCAAGTAAAAGGTGGTGAAAGTAGCAAGCTGAACACAAAATCCTAATAAGCAATGCTATTTGCATTCAGCAACATGGGAGAGGGGAACATTCAGCATTCAGCAACAGGGGAGAGAGGAAGATTGTTCTGTGATTTCTGCTCCAAGCCCATCTTCTGTATTATTTCATGGTTCAACAGTTATAGAATCATAGAATTGTTAGGGTTGGAAAGGACCTTAAGATCATCTAGTTCCAACCCCCCTGTCACAGGCAGGGACATCTTGCACTAAACCGTGTCACCCAGGGCTCTGTCCAAGCCAGCCTTGAACCCCACCAGGGATGGAGCATTCACAACCTCCCTGGGCAACCCATTCCAGTGCCTCACCACCCTCACAGGAAAGAATTTCCTTCTTATCTCCAATCTAAACTTCCCCTGTTTAAGTTTTAACCTGTTACCCCTTGTCCTACCACTACAGTCTCTAATGAAGAGTCCCTCCACAGCACCCCTACAGGCCCCCTTCAGATACTGGAAGGCTGCTATGAGGTCTCCACACAGCCTTCTCTTCTCCAGCCTGAACAGCCCCAACTTTCTCAGCCTGTCTTCATACAGGAGGTGCTCCAGTCCCCTGATCATCCTCATGGCCCTTCTCTGGACTTGTTCCAACAGTTCCATGTCCTTTTTATGTTGAGGACACCAGAGCTGCACACAATACTCCAGGTGAGGTCTCATAAGAGCAGCGTAAAGGGGCAGGATCACCTCCTTCGACCTGCTGGTCACGCTCCTTTTGATGCAGCCCAGGATACGGTTGGCTTTCTGGGCTGCAAGCGCACACTGAAGCCAGCTCATGTTCATTTTCTCATTGACCCACACCCCCAAGTCCTTCTCCGCAGGGCTGCTCTGAATCTCTTCTCTGCCCAACCTGTAGCTGTGCCTGGGATTGCTCCGACCCAGGTGTAGGACCTTGCACTTGGCATGGTTAAACTTCATGAGGTTGGCATCAGCCCACCTCACAAGCATGTCAGGGTCCCTCTGGATGGCATTCCTTCCCTCCAGGGTATCAACCGAACCACACAGCTTGGTGTCATCGGGAAACTTGCTGAGGGCGCACTCAATCCCACTGTCCATGTCAGCGATGAAGATGTTAAACAAGACTGGTCCCAACACCAATCCCTGAAGGACACCACTCGTTACTGGTCTCCAGCCGGACATTGAGCCATTGACCACAACTCTTTGTGTGCATCCATCCAGCCAGTTCTTTATCCACTGAGTGGCCCATCCATCAAATTGATGTCGCTCCAATTACAAGGATGTCATGTGGGACAGTGTTGAACGCTTTGCACATAGCAGTTTATTATTTCCTATTGAATATTTATGAAACCGTGTCTGAAAGCAGGGTTCTAATGAAATTATGCTTATCAAAAATCACATAAGTGTGTACCCACAATGCTTCAGAAAGGTATCTTTGCTGAAACTAATCAGCTAAGCTCATTTTTCAGCTGGTAATTTATTAAAATTATTAAGACATTTTGACCTTTTCTATAAAGTTGAGTTTGCTTTGAAGAAATAGTAGCTAAAATATTACGAAGTTTAATAGAGTGAAAGAGAATTAACAACTTTATTTGGATGTGGACACTGTGAAATCAAATCTCAAGTAAATATTTAAAAAAAAAGTACTGGAAGGATGTTCCAAATTAGGAACATGATGTATGACTTAATATGTGTTTACAAGTTTCTCTGCCTTCCCTGAGTGCAGATTTCATAGCCCTGCCATTGCCCTCTGGCATGAAACTTAATCTTTGTTAACACTGGCCTTGGTCTCCCCAGCATGAGCAAGATGATGATCTCCTTAGGATAAAATAGTAATGAAAACATGAAGCCTCCTTAGGAGCAACAACTGCTGCATCAAGATTCTGCGTCCTTGCTCTCCTCTGGTCTCTTGTCAGTGACTTTTCAATTAATTGCAATCACATCTATGCAAATAGGGTATGGAAAATCCAAAATGTTCCCCTTTAGCAATGCTTTACATTCCTATGTACGAGAAAACTTTTGCAGGAGAGACAAAGTATGTGACATTAGACCTGAATGAGTGCCCCTCAGTGTTCCTTCTTGGTAATTTACAGAAGTTTCCAGAGTACTGAAATTCCTGTCTGATCACACTGGAGTATTTTAGAACATGTATCATAGTAATTGGCTCAAGCAGACTGAAAGGTTTTCAATATAACAATTTTTTTGTCATTTTTCAGTAAAATATGAATATCTGCTTGTTATTAAATTTTCTGCATAGAAAAAGATTAGGCTTTCTCCCTGGAACAAAATTACTTCTGAAGATTACTACTATAAGCATTCATCTGCGTAAACTGCAGTGGCCACAGTAAGAAACTGAAAGCCTCTGGGGCATCCTCAGGCAGCTTTGTACCACTCTCTTGTGACAAAGTTGTTTGTCCTGGTAATTGTTATTGGATAATTGATGCAGTGCTCTTTTCTAGCTACCGACATAACTGTACACTTAGTTCTGATTTTTACAGTTTATAGCACAAGTTATATACTCCTTTGAGCTTACTAAAATTTCAAGTAAGAAAATAAAAATACATTTTATTGTAGTTGAAGCAACTCCTTCTTCTCCATTTCCCTAAAGGGAACTTAAAATTTGAAGGGTAAAAGAAGGATAATTCTTTGACTGCAAGGCATGGTAGTGGCAATTCCTATGTAAGGTCTAAAAGTGACATACCAAAGGATACCCTGCAGTTTCATTCAGAAACAAAGTTTGGCAGTGAACTGAGGGTTATTTAGGAAATACAGTTGTGTCATATTGTATTGTCATATGCTGTAAATAAATGTTCAGGGTATTTGTGCTAACTTCCATTTTTTTCCTTTTGAAGAAGGATGTAATTCTCAAGTTTTCATGCTTCTCCCAGTAACAAGATTGGGAGTGATGTGTTTCTTTTAATGGAAAGGGTTATAGGAAAGAGTTCTGCTATACACAGATGTCAGAGAACATTTCTTCTTGGCAAAGAAGATTTGGGGGGGGAAAAGTGACAGGGCTATATAAAGCGTGCTAGAGAAAATCTGTGTTCTGGAAATGAAATCTGAAAGGTTAGCCAAGTTGTTTGGAAAAAAAAAAAACGCACCCCCCCAAAAAAAACTCTAACCCCCCCCCCCCCCCAAAAATTTACCCCCCCCCCATCTCTCTTAACTCCCTTCCCCCAAAAGTCCGAAAAAACAAAAAAGCCCACATTCAAATGAAAAAGCATTTTTGGTATTTTTCAGGTGTTTTGATGAACCACAGAGTTGTTGTTATGTGGCTAGAGAAAACATCAGACTAGTTTTCAAACTGAAATAGCATAACAGAAATTTAAAATTAACCTTGACCAATGCTTTTTCCATTTGTGTGTATGCTGGTTTTCAGGGTAAAGTTTAGACGAGCATTACTAGAAAACCGGTTGCTGGAGAAAAAGGAACTAGCCCTTCAAGCAGCACATGAAGAAGAGGAAAAAAAGAAATGCCTTGCACTGCTACGACAACAGGTACTTTTATTTCCTTGATGTAGTATTTTCATATACAGTAATAATACAAGCACATACTGTCATATTATGTGAAAGATAAAAGGAACAATCTATCAAAAGCAAATAAATGAAGAAGTTAAAATGGTCTGACTTAAACAGTAATTCTGTCATGTTATAAACCCCGTGTGCTTTGTAACTGTGACAACAGGAACATTATGATGTTAAATTGCACTGTAGAAGTTGTTAATATCTGCAAATAGATAGATACTGTTTTTTCTGGGTTGGATATGATTACTTTGTTGTTGTTATTTGTTTGTTGTTGGTTTGTTGGGGTTTTGTAAAATAATCTTAAGTCTGCCTCAAGTGTTTGGCAAGATTTCTGAGTAATTTAAATTCTTTTTAAATTCTGAAAACTTACAGACCTTGGATAACTTTTCTTCAGAGAGATTTAACTCTCTCTGAAACTTTGGCATGTTATTTTAAAAAGGACATCTCAGAAAATGCTTGCTAATGTTTGTCATAGTAAATGTAGTGTTTTGTGTTTTTTTACTGCTGACTTTTTAAGTAGTAATTTTACCATCATTTACATTTCCATATCTATTCTTCTTGGTTTTCCCTCCAAAGTTTAAAAGGAAAAATCAGGATTTCACATTCTTTACACTATAGGAACTGCAGCCCAAATGTGCACCCGAAGGAAAATAAGGGAGGAAGAAAAGAAGCTCTCCAAACCCTTTTGATTTCAGATAATTTAAACATCACTAATACAGCAGCTTTCTCCCCAAGACTGCATCAAAAGCAGCGTGACCAGCAGGTCAAAGGAGGTGATCCTGCCCCTCTGCTCTCGTGAGACCTCACTTAGAGTATTGTGTGCGGTTCTGGTGTCCTCAACATAAAAAGGACATGGAACTGTTGGAACAAGTCCAGAGGAGGGCCACGAGAATGATCAGGGGACTAGAGTGCCTCCTGTATGAAGATAGGATGAGGAAGTTGGGGCTGTTCAGGCTGGAGAAGAGAAGGCTGTGTGGAGACCTCATAGCAGCCTTCCAGTATCTGAAGGGGGCCTATAGGGATGCTGTGGAGGGACTCTTCATTAGAGACTGTAGTGACAGGACAAGGGGTAACAGGTTAAAACTTAAACAGGGGAAGTTTAGATTGGATATAAGAAGGAAATTCTTTCCTGTGAGGGTGGTGAGGCACTGGAATGGGTTGCCCAGGGAGGTTGTGAATGCTCCATCCCTGGTGGGGTTCAAGGCTGGCTTGGACAGAGCCCTGGGTGACACGGTTTAGTGCAAGATGTCCCTGCCTGTGGCAGGGGGGTTGGAACTAGATGATCTTAACGTCCTTTCCAACCCTAACTATTCTATGATTCTATGACTACCTATGGTTAAAAATACAATATTTGATGCAACCTTGACCTCACCTTTGGCATGTACTTTGGCTTCAGGATTAACCATCCCAGTACAGTGTGCATGCCAATGAAATTCTTCCTTGTGGCTATGGCTTTGTAAATGCTTTCACTTCAGGATTTGGGTGTACAAGGTCCAGATGAAAGAAAAATATAGCAGAGGTCGAATACTGCAAGCCATCTTCTCTGGGATTACTGAGTGTTACAGGAATATATAAACTTAATGGATCATTAGTCTGTTATTTCAGTCGTTCTTTAAACTGTTGAACTCAGGCTCATCTCCAGTCAATAATACTTCATTTTTAATGATCTGATTCAGTTAAATATTTTGCTGCATTTCCAGCATTATTTTAGGTTGACAATGCATTTTTAATAACTCTATTACATCTTTTCTAAGTCACTGCTTGAATCGCATTGTCTTTTGCATCAGACATGACAAAAAGCTGGTTGAGATTCATGTTCTGTTGATCTCTTCTGACTGACTCAGTTCTCTTGCAAAAGTAGAAAATGCTTCTATGATGGCCTTTGACCAGCATGGTAGAGTTCCCACTTCATTACATTTTCCTAACCAGTAATTATTCTCTGTTTCACACTAATGAAATACTGCTTCATAAAATATGCCCCTTAGTTGTATGTGGGGAAAAACAAGATATTTACTAAAGTCATCCCATCTGTATATTTCGACAGCCTGTGAACACAAAGGTGACATTTTCTTAAAGAAATGGCAGAAAATTACCATAATTTTAAATATTTGTTTCTTGTTTTAGCCATTCAGATGGTGTCCTGACTTCAGTTATTTTGCTTATGCATCTTTCTGTATCTTCCAAGTAGTATTAGCCTATATCTGAATATTTTAACCCAAAGAAAAAAGAAAATAATAAATGAAAAAAGTTTCTCTCTTACACAATGTAATGTCAGAGAGAATCTTTGATACTGATCTAGCCACAGGAAATTAAACAGTTAAAACAGAGCACTTGAGAAAAAATCCAAAGAATTATATTATTTGTGGCATATCACTCCATGTTGTTGCCCGCGACTCAGTAAAAACTGTGAACTACTTGATCTGAACACCTTTGTTTCCATCCTAAGAAAAAGAACATTCAGACTTACAGGAATTGTGGGTATTGCTAAATTCTGAGTCTGCTGGTTCCTTTTGGTTACTGGTTTTGAAAGTCAGAGCTCATGTCAAGTTCTGCTAGAAAGCTGAGGATGCTATTGCTTCACTGCCTGCATTCTTGCTGAGCAGAGGCCTCCTCCACAGCCAGGACTGCATGCCGCTGTTACGGTGTCAGTAGTGCACGTATCTGGGAAGTGCTGTTTTCTGGTAGCCTAAAGCTTAGCATAAGCTTATTTCTTCCCTGGGGTATGACAAGGTAGCAATGTAAACTATCTCTTTGTGGAAATGCAGTCCAGCTTCAAGTTTATGTTTTCAAGGACTGACAATTGGCATTCACAATATTCAGATTATTCAGTGTTAAGCCTGCCCACACAGCGGGCGGTTCTCCACTTCACAGCAGTTCTGGGCATGCACAGTGCCATATTAAGTCCAGACAATTAAATTGCCTCCATTGGGAAACAGGAAAAAAAGTCTCCCTGTTTATTATACTCTGTCAATGTGGTTTTATTCTGGATTCTAGTTTTAAGCTTTACAACTTTTATATAAGGATACAAAGTGGTTTAAGACAACTTTTGAAATTTTTCAACCAGGTAAATGATCATGTTCTCAAAGGATGTGTTATTGATAATAACCTTTTGTCACCTCAGGGCTACACAGAGTAATTGTTCTTTTCATGTAATGTGTTTTAGGTTGCTGTTATTGCAAAACCAGATCCAGCCAGAGCAGTGGCTGATACAGTGGCGTCTAAAGCTCGAATGGGCATCGGAACCAAAGAAGAGTTTGATATTCAGAAGCCACTGTTTCAGTTGCATACATACAATGAACAGCAGGTAATTGTCTCTAGTCACACTATATAATTTATTGTATGCACATATATCTTAATGGTGGTGCGTGATACTAACATTAGTAATTTATCTCCTAAATAGCAATATTAACAGTAGAATATAGAATATAATTTGTATTAAAATAAAAACATTAGGACAAATAGGTGGGGTAATCTCTCTGCCCAGGTGTAGATGCTGGAGGACCACAATGAGAGTGACCATAAGGGTGTGCTCAGGTCCATCATAGGAGTCATGGGCTCTCCCTGGACAGCATCCCCCACTGCCACCGCTAAGACAAAGGATGCTGGGATCAATGGACCACTGTGCAGTTGTTGTGTTTGCTGAGCATTTTGACTGAGCTGTTTGCTATTTTTTCATTTCAAAACTTACCCCTTTTACATTTTTATGCATTTATTTAAAGAATGCCTCCTTTTCCCCTGCTCCAGTTAGTGTTGTACAAAGTATTTGAAGTGAATTGACTCAGCATAGAAGTTTTCCTGAATGTATGCAAAACAGCTGTGTTACAGGTAACTTAATTATGGGGCATTCTTTTTTTGTGGAAGATTATGCACAGCACAAGTATTTTCATAAAGTGAAAATTAGTATCTTGACTATCTTACAGTGTTGCTAGACTGAGGATTAGTTGGGATGTGATATGCAAGGGCTAAAGGAGAAGAAACTGGTGAGGTGGAAAAGAAGCAGGAAACTGGAGTAACTGTATTCTCATTTTCAGGTCACTCATACTGCTGAGGACAGTGGTAGCATAATTTCAAGTGGAATTAGTAACATAGGGGAGGATTTTTTTTATTCCTTCACTGTTCCCTGTCTACTCAGTCTATACCTTTGAAATTATTCCCGCTCTGGAATTTGAAAATTATATTTACAGAAAAAGAAGTGCTATGATATAATTCTGTGGCATAAAAGCTTTATTTTAGCATTGAATAACCTGAAATTTAATGATGTCTATAACTAAGCTTGTCCAGCATTTCCCATTTTAAGGCATTCTAAATCTTCTCAGTTTGATAAAAGAGAGATGTGGCACAAGATATACAAGGTTTTTTTGGCTAGTAAAATTTTTCAAAATCTGACCTATGTATGAGGTTCTGAAAAGCCTTAGCTTAAAAATGTTCTAAACAGGTGTATTTGGGATTGATATCTGAATTCTCAGAATATTCTTCCTGTTTCCGCTCAAAATGGGATTTGGTACTGCTTGAACTGTAATATGTGTCTCCTGCCAATCACACTGGTGTGCTCCATCCCAGAGCTGCAGTGGTTGTGAATAGTATTTCCCAGTGCTGGGCTTCCCAGCAGCTCTGGGCTTTGTGGCGGTAGATGCTAGAGCTGAAGGCAATGTCACACGTTCTCTTGTACTTTCAGTGCTCTCCCACTATAGCCCATGGAAGAAGGATTTGAGAGAGGCTTACAAATTTTGCCAAATAACCTGTCGACAAATTTTAGAAGTAATTTCCTTAGGCATTAATTGTTGGTTGATGTAAAATGGAAGTGTTACTGCTATGTTGTCACAGACAATGCTGTGAGAAAAATCAGAAACATGTTTGAAACACTTGGATGCTGTAGAAAAAACCAAGAAGGGATTAGAAGTGTTGTGCTGAAAGCAGGGCTGTATTGTTGGGGAGCATTAGAGGAGTCAGCAACTCTTCACTGAGCAGGCTGAACTAAACATCACTTGGTTTCTCAGCTACCCTTTCAGTTTTGCTGAGGAATGACAACCAGGGCTGTTAAAATAGTTTGTGATCACTAATATTAAAAAGGATAATATCAAGATATGTGCAGTGAGATAAGACCTGTTTACTATAGAGTTTCTCTGCTTTTGAAGGCTTTATTTTATGACCGTAATTTTCTGTCTCTTAAAACTTTTTAAATATATACATTTACAGATAACCTGTGAGAGACACTGTTTCTGAGGAAAGTATTGGTTTGTTTCTATTTATCATTGTGTGGTTTATATTAACAGATCACTTCTGACCCTAGACTTCGTGTTGAGCTAGCTCTTCGAGAAGCTGGTCTTCATAAAACGCTTTATGCAAAAGAGATTTTACCAAAAATTCCTCCACTGAAGCTTCCAAGAAGAGACATGGAATCTACAGCTTTTAAACTGTGAGCAGCTCTCGTATCAAAAGTAGAGAAACTTCAGGGGTATTGTCTGGCCTATAATGTGAAAACTTTAAATAAATTTTCCTTAGCCTGTGCCATAGAACTACGTAGTTCTCAGTGTGTGCAATCATTCTAAAAAACAATATGCCTTTCTCATGCAGGGCTACCCCATTTTACGCCTGTCTTGGTAAAGGTTGAACAGAGTTTTGGTGGGTGTAGGCTGTTGTGGTGTAATTTCGCATGTCCCTTTCTACTGGGAGATAGGACACCTATCCTATCTCCTACAGACATTACAGGCCAGTCTGATGTATAGCATCTTGAATAGGAACTCTGTTTTTTAATTGGCAGCATAAATCCAAAATAGATTTGCAGAACAGCCACTTTAAATTGTGACACGTGAATACACCCCACAACTTTCATTGCTGGTTTCTTGAGAATTTGATTATTTTAATGAATGTTTTTATTATTCTTTGATTATTATAAAAATAAACTTAACCTTTGTCTATATTTAGAAACAAATTTGCTGCATCATGACTGCAAGCCAGTCATGCAATTTCATGTTGCAGATTAGTCTTTCAGTATAAATTATAAATTAGAAATAACATTTCAGATCAGGGATCTTTATTTTGGAGCAGAAAGTACTGATTAAGGTTTTATTTAAATGAAAGGAAAATTAATGTAATTCCATTTTGTAACTATGTTTTCCAGTCTTACATAAGTGTAAAATGTATGTAAACAAGGTATAATTAGCAGTTTAACCAAACATTTCAGGGAGATCTGAACATTGTGTATCTGGATAATTACAGGTACTTCATTAATGTAATATTGTAATGGCTTATAGGCATTAATGGATCACATACCTCCAACACCTTGTGAAACAGACAGTAACTGTCACAGTGAAATACTGCGGATCAGGGCAGCTGAAAGCCCAGTCTCTGCTCTCCCAGCGGAGTCCATGGTGCAAACACCAAGAGAGAGTGGTTTTGATGCTAGCCGCTGTATAGCACCTCCTTCCCTGGCACAGACAACAGTCCCTCTTCTCTTGACATATTTGGTGGTTCTACACCAAATGTTTTGTAATCAGAGACAAGCAATGTTGAGTTTTCACACTCAAACTGTTAGTAACATTGGCAAAATCTTGCAGCGTGAGCCTGATCTCAGCAGGTGTCTCAGCACCTGGGGGAGGGAGGTTTGCTCCAGCACGAGTGTGCAAGGATGCAAAGTCAGAGCAGACGGAGACTGTAAGAAGGGTGCCAGAAAGGCAGGGGAAGAGCTATGCGACAGACTCCTGAGTGCAAGCAAATTTAAGAACAGGAGCAACGTAATCTGAGTATTGAAGCTATGTTATTTTAATGGGGGAAGAGAATGCTACAGAGACTGCCCAAAAGCCGTGGGAGCTGTGTGTCTTCTGAATGTAATTTTGCATGCTTGTGCTAGAATTGCTATTTTGTGTGTATTTGTGCATTTTATTTTGGTATCTCATTTGGGGTAACTCATTCTTAAAACATACTTGGCCATCTTCACAACTTGTTGGATGTTCCTGCAGGGAGACCAGCACTGCTTTTCTTCTATTTAGAGGCCAGATTGGCTGCTAGACTGCTTTCTCAGAACAGAAGATTCCAAACTTAAGGCAACTGATTTTTTTTTTTTTTAACTTGCCTTTAAAAACAGATCTGCAAGATACTGTCAGTGGTGCAAAATCTTTTCAGCTCATAGTTGTCATCTTTTATAAATACCAAGACATTTATGAAAAAAGAAAGTTTCAATGAAGCAGGCATGTTTTTAAATAAAGGGCACTGATTTTTAGGCACTGTCTTGTGATTGTCCGTTGTCTCTCAGGGAATAGAGTGAGTAGAAGCCCGCTTACATCTGTGTAGCATACATGAGTCTGTGCCAGCTCACTGCAGCCAGGAGCTGGGGCTTGTTATTGATACAATGAGGCCAGAATGAAGATTTTTAGAGGGATTTTCATGTAACAGTGATGCGTGGAAAACAAGCAGGTCAGTGAAACTGGCTTCAAGTATTTAGCTCAGCACACTTAGAGGCTTTTCCTGCAGACTGCCTCAGCCACTCTCCCTAGCCTGGCCAAGTGCCTCTCTCCTGTGCTCCTGTGGAAGGAGGTGGGTGTTTCGCCTTACTTTGTTGTCCTCACCTTAGCACTGTTCACAAAAGGTGATGAAAGCCCTTCAGGAAATGGAGATGCTTATAAGGATGTTTGTTTTCAGGATAAATGCTATAAAAAAATAAAATAAAATTGAAAGTTATTTTTGTACAAAGATGTGTGAAATTACTTGCACATAAAAATAGTGATTTGAAAAATGTTAATGGGAAATAGACTTCTCAACCAGCATCTTTTGCAGCCCTACTTTGTTGGTTTTGACTCGCTGAGGGTAACAGTTCAGAAGTCAGCTATTCTTTATGCCAGTGAATAAAGTGTATGCAGTTTGACTAACAATCTGAGTTTTTAAAGCCTGAGAAAAACTTCTTTGTGAAAGTGAGGTGGCTCAGTTTCAAGGCATACTACTTATTTGTGAATTTTGGTAGGCAGAAAATTGGCTGAAATGTTAAATAGTGCCTGAAAGTTGAGCACCCAACTGGTGCAAGATCGGTTGATGCGGTATCTGGCCATTACAAAACACTTCAAGTTTGTGCCAGCTTATGTGCACGTAAGCTTATATGCACATATATGTATCTGTAGAAAAAAGAAGAACGTAACTGACTGAGATGCCAGTTCTGACCCTCTAAGAATAGAGAGGGCCCTGCAATAATGGTCAGTATTTTGAAAAGGAGCTCACCAAGGACATGCATTCTGAGCTGTGTAAATTACTGACTCATCTGAAAGCCCTAAACAGTGTCAAACTTAGAATGTGCAGCAGAAAAAACATTTCATAGCATAATCATTAAGCTAAGAGCAAAGTAAGTAAAACGAGAGTCTCTTTACTGCACATTGTTCTAGAAAATAGAGAGTTCTTCACCTCCTGCAAAGTTAATGACTGCATCTATGTTTCCGTAAGCTAGGGCAGAACAAACATCACCTATCAAATTAGGCAAAATGTTAAAGTATCATATTTCTTTTCCTGGAGTGGTTTTAAATTTTCACAACAGACTTAAGGTACATTGCTATTAGTATAGAAGTTTCTTAAGCAGACTTTGGACTTAGCAGAACTGGAAGCAAGCTTGTTAGTGAAACTTAAGAACTAGAAGTGATTTTGATGGGAAATTCTTCAGACTGTAGGTGACCTCTGAAAAAAACCCTCTGTGCCACCCAGGCACAGCTTGTGGGGACACTTACAAATGAGTTTCTGGGCTGTTGATGTGTGTTGATTAGCAGATGAACATGAAAGATGTCCCTGGCACTCAGGTGAAATCTGGTGAAGGATGTATCAGTAACCTGTGCTTCCTATCCCTTTCCATCTCAAAGGTCTCTGTGCTCCCCACCCCTAAAGCTGCCAACCGTGCAGTCTGCTTTTCTTGAGGACAGCCTGTGCAAAGTGGGCTTCCCACACACTCCCTCTTATCTTCAAATGCCCTTGTACATGTCAGGTTTTGACAGATCCTTAATGAATAATAGTAATAGTCACAAATATGGATTAATTTTGTGCATCATTTACTTAGTTTTTGGCTTTATGCCAAATGAAGAGGGAACTCCTTCCCGGAGGATTGCTGTGGACAGGATTGACCCTAACAGTACAGTCCTTTCTGATCACTGGAGATGGGACTGAGGAGCATGCAGTTTGGTAAAACACTCTTAATTTCTGTACAAATACTGTCTGGAGCTGTCCTTGGGTGAGCAGGTTGTTGGTGTAATTCAAGCCACTTTGGAGGTCTCCAGCTCCTGCATGGTGATGTTCACTGGATCCAGCTGCCCCACTCAGCCGTGGAGGGCACTTGTCCATGGGAGTGCATCTTGACCAAGTCAGTCTTTTCCATTTCGCAGAAAAAGGGGATGTGGTGTGCCTGGCATGGGAGACCAAGCCTGCACTGCTTGTGCTGCATCACCCATCAGTTTGTGGAGAAAAGCTTGTTTCCTGCTGGAGGGCACAGCCCCAGCTGCTTTCGGATGAAGGCTGCAATCAAGCGCTGGGGCCGCTGCTGGTATTCCCACAGCAGCTCATGGGATGCCCGGATCTGGTCCCCCTCCAGGCGATCCAGGAGTGCCACACAAACGACAGCGGCTGCAGGATGGCCGAAGCACTGTGTTACCTCACGCCTGATTATGAGCACCCTTTGCCTTAGAACACTGCCCCGTGGGTTGTGGATGCTCTGCTACTGCTGCCCTCCCCAGAGCTCGCTGTGGAATGCATCCTGCCGCACTGGGAAGGCTGAAGCGGCAGGGTCCCTGGGTAGCTGCTGGCTGCAGCACCACTCCCTGGGTGCCCCCCACTCACGCTCTTCCAGCAAAACAAAGGAAGGCAGCTGGCCTGTGTAGCCAAGGCTTGTTTTAAGGCCAGGAAAGGGAGGAGGGAGTATTAAGTTTTGTTTTGTCCAACATGCACTCAGGTCTTCTAAAACAAACTTGGTTTTTATTGACTCACAAAATTTGTTCTAGTGTATGTTTCAAGTTAAAATAGTTAGGAATGTGGTTTTGGCCCTTGGGTTGTCTGAATCTCGCACCAAATCAAACCCTCAGGTTGGGTTAAGCTGTGGAATGCAGGGAAGGATGCAGAAACACTCACCTTTCAGGCCACACAACCTGCACAGGGCAGCGAATGCTGTGGACTCCATTTCGATGTTCCTCACACCGGCATTGTAAGCTCTTTTTAAGTACTCTAACTTTTTTTCACTGGAAAAAGAGCACAATGCTCCATCTAATCTCCCCTGACCTTGAAAGGAAGCAGAGAAGTGTCACTGCCTAGCTTTACAGTTGAAGTTAATGGGGTGTAGTTTCAAATGGAAAGTTCAGCAGTACCTGCGTTTGTCTGAAGCCACCTAAGTTTTCCTTTGACTAGTTACTTAAGTAGTTGTACTTATGTCCAGTACAGCTACTCCTCTCACACAGCATGTAAAGTCCTTCATGCAAGCCAAATGTATACCTGCAGTTGTGCTAACCTGGGCAGCATACTTCATTTTATTGCTGCTCCTACTATTAATCCGCTCAAATGG